ATATATATTTTTTAAATAAATGTAAAACTATATTGAAATATAATGTGTTACGAATAAAACAATGATAGGAATGATCTTATAAGAACATTTATGAAACTATATAGAATTTTTTTTTAAATAGAATGTAAGCTATTTTGTAACTATTTTTTGTTTTTTTGTTTTTTTTTTTTAATACTTCTCCTGTTTGAACAAGACTTTCGATATTAAAATCGGAAAATACAAGGGGAAACGAGTAACGTCAAAGAAAGAACGATGGATTTTTACTTATGTAAATAGGTCGAATATATAAGTATATATATAGCTATGTATGTATATATATATATAAAAAAAAAAAAGAACAAAAAAAAAACTCACCACCGGCGGCAACGCAGGTAATATTGAGAGACGCTCCTTCGCTGTACGGGCCAAGAATGTAATGAGGAATATGAGATCCACCTTCGTCCAATATGCTAAGTTGTTCCGGTGGTACTGCAATCATTTTTACAATATAAATATCCCCCTTTTTCTCTTTTTTTTTTCTTTTTTTTTTTTTTCCCCCCTCTGTCACATCGAAAAATAAACGAGTATTTTCTTTTTTCTTTTGTCAAGTCACATTCTAGTATTATTTACAATTTGTGACTATGAAAGTGAGACAGGTAGTACTAGCTAGTTTTATTTCTATCCAACCTTTTAGTACTACACGGTGGATAACATTTCTCTTTCTTCCTTTCTCTTTCTCTTGGTTTCCTTCTTATCCTTTTCTCACAACACGATGCCAGTTGCAAAAAGAAATAGGGATCAAGTTTAAAAACGGACTTTACGTTCCTGGTACTTCTCGTCGTTGTCGCATGCGCTTGAATTAATGGACGTCGAGCAAAAGTTTCAAGAGATGGAAGAAAAGAAAAGAAGGAAGGAAGGAAGGAAGGAAGGAAGGAAAGAAGTAAAGAAAAAAAAAAAAAATGGGAAGTAAAAAGAAGAAGAAGAAGAAGAAGAAAGAGAACAAGTTCGTTCCACCTTACGCCGACTTGTTAACTCGTTCAGATTTATGAACAAGGTATACGTCAGGGGTTCTTTTCAAAATCTATGACATCTCGGATAGATTCGATTTTCCGATGATGACGTAGGGGGTGAAGGGGAGGGATGAAAGTTTAATTAAAAAAATCAAGCGTAAACTTGGGAAGAAAATTGAACTAACAAGTAATATAAAGATAAATTGTGTTTGCGTATATAGGAACTCTTGCAGGTAAACGTTTAAATGCATATCGGTTCGAGAGAGAACAAACATATCAAATTGTCTATTCTCTTCCTGATGCATCGGAAAGTGAACAAAGTCTCTAACATGGACAAGGTACTCAGACAACAAGTTTCTCGGCAACTCGATGTGACCACTAAGCGTTTGCTTCTTCTCTCTCTATCTCTCTCTATCTCTCTATTTCTCTTTCCTTCTCTCTTTGGACACTCACTGATGACCGTAAAATTGACTTTGCTGTTTCTCGTAGGTGACTGTTTGAAATCGACCCTGCATCTGTAAATGGCAGCATCGGTCTCCCGAACGTTGTCTAACACGAGCTTAGCTGGTTCCTCGGAATGAAGGAAGGAGGCACGCCCATCGAGACTAAAATTTTGCCAATGTTTTCCTTGTTCCATTGTACTACGTCCTCTCGTATCGAAACTGTAATAAATCACGTTAAACATTTTACTTTAACTCTCTTGTATATACATATATTATATATATATATATATATATAT